CCCTTCCCCCTATACTGGAGTGGGCAATTTGCTCCGCTTCGATGGACATCGGGTCAAAGGGTCGACATCTGCCGCCATGTCAGTTGGCTACTGTTTAACGCCATGTTCGACACCGACTGATCTACAAGGCGATTACGCGACGGAGAAAGCGCAGGTGGGTCATAAGGTAGGAGGGTCGGAGCTACCGGCCCTCGTACCGCTGGCTCGCTGACAGCTAAGCGGCGACGACTGAAACAAAGTGGAGGCATGTCACCGTCTCACAACGGGTGCACTGGCCGCCGTCCGTCGTCGAATCGACAACAACAACACTCGTCTACGCCCTAAATAGGCCTCATACGCGACGACGACGACGACGTCGAACTCTAAACATGTTTTCGTCGACGACAGCGTCTGCCTGCACCGGTGATTCAACCGTCAAAACCGACGGAACAGCAGTGTGACCGACCGGGCGTAGGCCTGACCGAATTCCTCACCGTCTTCGTCTTCGTCTTCTCCTCGCGTCGTCTTCGTCGCCGTAGCGGTGGTTGGTCGTCGGGAGTCAGTAGTCGGTCGTCGGTCGTCGGTCGAGCGAGAGTCCAAATCGAGGTGGCGGTAGTTTGAGGTTTGTGAGGATTTTCGTGCAACAGCCAGCCATGGCCAAGATGGAGATTCGCATCAAGTACTGCTTCTGCTGCGACCTGACTATCGCCACGATACTCATTGCCGTTTACTGTGTGGTAAGTGCCGTCCGTGCCGCGTCATCTCTTCTCGTTCACAGCATGTCATCCGCCTCGACTCCACACACTGATCTGTGCGTTCCTTCCACGCCCGGACACTCATTGTCGTTTTACGTGCATTTCAGTGTCGAATTGCTTATGTGCGCCCGGAAGCCTGTCATCGTACGAATCGTATTGACGACCATAATAACGAGTAATCACAGGTCACGATCGCTGCAGTTGTCGACGCGTCCTCATTCCTTCAACTCGCCTGTCCATTCAACGCCCAGAGAGCTGCGTATTCGACACCGAAAACGTCACCGCCGATTAG